TGAATGTCTTAAAACATTTTAAAGTCTATTTCTAAACAGCATTTAATTATTGCTATATTCAAAACACCTACCTTATTTCCAATATCTACAAGAAAATATTGAGCTTTAATCTGAAACATTATTTTCACAAGATGCATAAAATGACTTTCCAACAAGGAAAGCCATATGATAAAGATTTAATGCTATTGTGATCTATGACAGATTTGAGGCATGGCCAGGGTAGATTGACAAAAGATATTAAATTTACAAATGTAACAGTAAAGCTTTGAAGTTGTGGTTCAAGCATAAAGTAAACTCTGAGTGCTAATTCATCAAAGCTGACAGCTTGTTACATTATTCCAGAGGGGTCTGTCTCCAGACCACAGTGGGAATTTCATTCAGACAACAGTTTTTCCTAGAGGAAATCAGGCAGCCAAGTAAAGTAGCTATAATTAGCTGTAACATGTCAGTGGTTGGCTCATCTCCCTTTCACTGACTCTTTTCATGTTGCAATTCCACAATAAAATAAATTACAACAGTGACACAGGTGAGAGATATGAATGAATGTGACACTATTTCTGCTGCTGACAATTTAGAAAACTTTGAACAAAAAGAAGAGTTAATGCTAAAAGTAATGGGATTAGAGAGCACAGTTGCGTGTTGGTAAGTAATTACGTCTGCATCTGCAGAAAACCACTGATGAAAAGCCAAGATAGATTGGCTGTGTTTAAATTTGGTAAACAGAAACACTACATCCTCTGAAGTTGATAAATGAAGAAAACCACTTACATGACAATTTTTCAAAGCATGTGTGTATTTTAGCACAACATTTAATGGCCTTGGATTGAGCACAACAAAACAGGATGAAAGTTACTGATCTATAGTTTGTTACTTTGCATTGGATTTTTTGCACGTCATAGGAGTCTACTTATATGCGCAATGCTCTTTTTCCATAGTCTCACAGTAATGTATTGTGGATGCAAAGATGGTAAAATGCTAATGCTTACCTTCTTTTGGCTATAAAGATTTAGTATATTTATTCAATAAACAGTGCCTATGAGATTAGGCTGGGCCTGAAAAAAGAATATGGATGTTGCAGTACATAATTAAATCGTTGTTTCCAATGCAGGAAAACTTCATTGTGCTGACTGATTTGCATGATAGCGGTATTTGGTCAGTGCTAAACACAATACTGAATGGCTGTATGCTCCATCAGATGACTCACATTTGGGGGATATAAGCACTACTTAAAGCTAACCTTTGTTGATTTAGGCAGCCGATAAACCTCTTAAAGGTGCATTCTGGCTGAAGGAGCTGGTTGCTAATGACAATGCAAGACAAGCATGTTGCAATTAGGCAGGAAGCTTTAGGTGCCTAGGTGCTTTGATGAAGGAGGTGGACAGGAGGATGCAGTGATCAGGGCGCTCTAGGCAAATTCTCCGAATCAAATAACTGATGGGCAACGCCACAAGTCCAGCCTTGAGGATCAGAATATAGTACTGTGAGAAATTAATTCCCTCCACAAACAGCCATCTTCAAATGCAAAATTCTCCCAAGGGAAAACTAGCCTCACACACTGCGCAATGCACCACATACCCATCAGTCACTTGCCAACCATCTCTATCAACCACAACTCACACATAACATAAATAGCTTCACCCCAAAAGACATGTTGTAAGCCTCACACCGATATCACATAGCTTACACACATTTTAGATTATTTAATCATGATAGCCACATTACCCAACTACCTTTCACCACAGCCCTTGGTGAACCTCCCTCTGTCTTAAAGGACAAGCTGGTGCATTTCCAGTAGCAGCAGTATAGTTCTAGCTAGTTGGCCTTAACCCTCTGGAGGAGATAGCTCTTGTCATCATTGGAGCAACTATGACTGAAGCCATGGCCCTGACACCTGGACTGAAAACAGGATGACAATAATATATTCAAACCTTCTCCCATCCCACTAGACCCATATCCCACAATCTATTCTGATTTACAAACTGTAGATAGTGCAAGCTTCCTCACCTTCCTTTAGCACAACCCGACCCTGGTTCCTCCTTTGAGATACCCAATAACACAATCTGTCCAGTCAGTGCTGGAGGAGAAAGAGATAAAAGAGCAGAAAGACAATGATGAAAAAACACCATCGTCACATAGATTCATAGGCATCAATTCACACACTGACATGTTGCGTACTTTAGAGCTTAGATCCTGAAGTTATCAATCAGGTATCTCTGAAGCAGGGGCCCAGAAGTAGATTTCAAGGGGTCTCCCACAGGGTCTCATTCTTCTTTTAGACTCTGCTGTGGTCTTGACCCTTCCCACCTTCATAATCTCATTCAGCAGTACAACCCTCTGAGTTATCAGTCCGTCCACTTCTGTTCCCTTGAATGTTTTTGATTAATCATTCTATCAATGTGGCCCTGCCTCCAGCTACTAAGGCCCTAGGGCTCTGGAATTCCCTCCCTAAAAATCCTATCTCTTTTCTGCTACTTTATCCTTTAAGATGCTCCTTAAACCTGCCTCTTTGATCAAGCATCTGGTTATTTGCCCATGGATCATTATGTGGCTTTGTGTCGCATTTTGATTTAGAATGCTTCTGTGGAGTGGCTTGAAATGTATTACTACTTTAAAGCTGCTAGATAAGTACTATTTGTTGTTGATTCTGCTCACAAATCTAATGCTATATTAAAATATAGCAGAAGAATAACACATTGAAATGAACATCGTTTGGCAACACAGGTTTTAGCATAGAACTTGCAAAAGCCTAGTCCATTGGACAATAGAAAATTGAGACTCAAATGTTGAAACAAGCTCAAATGCGAGCACTTGGGACAGTTTACTGCTGAAAAGTAATAGAGACCCAAGAGTACGTATTACAGCGGTACATCTCCTGAGTAAAACTAATATTCCTGCTTGCATTTCACATGAAGCCTTGTGCTGCTGGCAAAACCATACAAGTTTTGTCACAAGCAATATATCAAAGAAGTTTAGCATGATGTTCTTCTTACTACTTATTTTCTCCATAAGCAGAGTTTCAACCTCAGCATGAGTGACTCCAACAATAAAGTAAGGTCGATCTTTATTTGTGAAATATTTACTGGGGAAACCATAACGTGCGGTAATCCAGTTTTCCTGTACTGACAAAGTTATTTTACAATGAACTGCTGTGTGATGGAAAAACAAAACTATAGCCTACGTAGTTAGTCCCAGCAGGAAGACCAGCACATAATTAATTCCATTTGGCAGTTTCAAGTCTGTGTGACATCATCATGCTGAGTTGTAATCTTTGAACATTAGTCTGGGATAATAATCTGAGATTCAATAACAAGTTTGTATCAACGATGCTGGCAGCAGGCCTGGTTGTCTGGAATGTATCTATTGTGAGTTGTTGATAATATGCAAAAGCTGCAAGAAAGCTACAACTGAACTTATCATAAGGTACTGTTAACTTAATCCAAAGGTACTGAAGTCAATTTTATCGATTCCTACGTATTTCCATCTGTTTTTCTAACAAGTAAACTTTCAGTTACTAAGATGAAAATAATGAGGAATATAAATAAGTTCATGCTTCCCTATGACTGGGAAAAAGGATTGCCCCAGTCACTTTGGTAGCAGTTTTATCCTGACTCGCTGGTGGAATATGGATGGATATGTGTCAACCATCCATTTCCAAGTTAGGTTAAAATTATCTTTAATGTGTAGCAATATTGTAATCATACAATGAAGATTTCCATTTGGAAATGGTTAGCATTTCCAAAGAAATTTAGATGCCCTGTGCAGTCCACCCCTAAATACCAGCTCAAAGGATTATCCATATTCAGACTGCCATGACAGAGTCATAGGGTCATACAGCATGGAAACAGACCCCTCGGTCCCACTAGTCCACATTGACTATGTTCCCAAACTAAACTATCCCCACCTACTTGAGATTGGCCCATATCCCTCAAAATCTTTCCTATTCATGCACTTATCCAAAAATCTTTTAAACATTGTGGTTGTACCTGCATCCACCACTTCCTCTGGCAGTTCATTCCACAGACTAACCACTCTCTGTGTAAAAAAGTTGCTCTTCAGGTCCTTTTTAAATCTTTTTCCTCTCACCTTAAAAGTACGTGGACGGTTTTGAACTCCCTCACCTTTGGGGAAAAAAGCTTTTGCTGTTCACCTTATCTACGCCCTCATGATTTTATAAACCTCTATAATGTAACCCCTCAACCGCCTACCCTCCAGTTAAAGAAGTCCCAGTCTATCCAGCCCTTATTTATAAATCAAACGTTCTAATCCTGGCAACATCCTGGTAAATCTTTTCCAAACCCTTTCCAATTTAATAACATCCTTCATATAACAGGGCAACCAGAATTGCACACAGTACTCAAGAAGACGACTATGGAATCTACTCCACTTAGTTAATGTTTTGAAAACATTTCTCCATAAATGTACCATAATCCCAATCCTTATATCCCTTAAATATAGTGGTGAAGTTTGCAGAGTGCACATTGCAGGTTTTCCTTGTCCTAACATATTATAGGGCGACCATAAATTTTGTAATTGTATATTTGAATCACTTTCTGAATTGTCTCAATAACTCTATGAGATTTGTAATCCACTCTTTGCTATTTCTGGACAATATATCAAGACCTCAATGCTTGGTCGAGTTTTTTGACATTATGACTACAAACTGTTTAAATCTTGACTATAGTGGTTGATGACAAATAGTGTCATGAGAGAATATCAGGACAACCCTGCAAAAAGACACTTGTTACAAAGTGTTAAAGAAAATAAACTAAAATAAACTGAGACAAGAAATAAGGCAGTTTTTTTGGGAGGTTTGTTTTTTGCTAACTGTATAGTTAAGGATTCTTATGGATAGTCAAGGCACATTTGTGTTTTTCAGTTAAAAAATCTTGTCCTTTTTTTTTTCTAAAACCTCAGCTTTGGAACATTTCCTTGGGCAACTTCCAAGCTTCAATGGTAAGGACAGACATTCACCTATGTTATTTAATTATATTCTTACTTACCCTGTGGATGGTGTCATAATGCAGCCTCCTTTCTCCAATGTTGCCCTGCAGGTACAGCCACGCTCAGGAGTATCATGATTCATGCCAAAGTTGTGGCCCAGCTCATGGGCCATTGTTACTGCTGCTCCAAGAGGATTGTCTGAATGATCCTGGCAAAATTAGAGAACAATATTTATTCACATTTCAAAATTTGGACTAACAAGGTGTAGAGCTGGATGAACACAGCAGGCCAAGCAGCACCAGAGGAGCAGGAAGGCTGACGTTTCAGGCCTAGACCCTTCTTCAGAACATAGATAAGCTGCAGAGCTGGGCTGAGAGGTGGCAAATGGAGTTTAATGCGGAAATGTGTGAGGTGATTCACTTTGGAAGGAGTAACAGGAATACAGAGTACTGGGCTAATGGTAAGATTCTTGGTAGTGTGGATGAGCAGAGAGATCTCGGTGTCCATGTGCATAGATCACTGAAAGTTGCCACCCAGGTTGATAGCGTTGTTAAGAAGGCATACGGTATGTTAGGTTTTGTTGGTAGAGGGATTGAGTTTTGGAGCCATGAGGTCATGTTGCAGCTGTACAAAACTCTGGTGCGGCCGCATTTGGTGTATTGCGTACAGTTCTAGTCACCGCATTATAGGAAGGATGTGGAAGCATTGGCAAGGGTGCAGGGGAGATTTACCAGGATGTTGCCTGGTATGGAGGGAAGGTCTTATGAGGAAAGGCTGAGGGACTTGAGGCTGTTTTCGTTAGAGAGAAGAAGGTTAAGAGGTGACTTAATAGAGACATACAAGATGATCAGAGGATTAGATAGGGTGGACAGTGGGAGCCTTTTTCCTCGGATGGTGATGGCTAGCACGAGGGGACATAGCTTTAAATTGAGGGGTGATAGATATAGGACAGATGTCAGAGGTAGGTTCTTTACTCAGAGAGTAGTAAGGGTGTGGAATGCCCTGCCTGCAAAAGTAGTAGACTCGCCAGCTTTAAGGGCATTTAAATGGTCATTGGATAAACATATGGATGATAATGGAGTAGTGTAGGTCAGATGGGCTTCAGATTGGTTTCACAGGTCAGCGCAACATTGAGGGCCGAAGGGCCTGTACTGCACTGTAATGTTCTATGTTCTATGTTCTATCTACAACCAACCTGTTCAGACATGTTGCGACACACCTCCAAAACAGGTGGGACTTGAACCTGGACCTTCTAGCACTGCACCATAAGAACCTCTTGCTTGTGCTTTATCCTAACACTATCGACCCTGTTTAGTTCTGTACCTTTTAATACCCTTGGCTAACAAAAATCTATGAATCCTCGACTTAGAACTATGAACCCAGCATCAGCTGCTTTTTTTTTGGAGTGACTACCATACTTCTTTTAGGCCAGCAGAAAAACAGTAATATCTATTAGCCACGCTATCAACTCCTTTCAAAACCGTAAAAATCACAAGCCACCCAGTTTCCAGCTACATAAGCCTCATTTAAATTTCCCTTTAACCCAGGAGTGCAGGTATTATTATAATGAATTTGCACTGGTTTCCCTCCCAGGCCAATCAGCTGGAATTTTGTTGGGAGTGGGGTTGGAGGGACATGGGGGCAATGCTTTTTGCACTCCACTACCAACCATTTCACAAATTACCTGTCTACTCTTGTCTATCTGCCCATACCAAGGATACTATGGCATGGGCAGCATAATATTTAGGTCAACTAGCTCGTTAACAATTACTTATGTAAAAAAAATCACACAGGCTGTTGATTTCAGCACCTTTCCACTAACCATACCTTGGGGGTACAGCTCATTGGAGATTGGGAGAGATAAGAAGGTGGTGGGCTTGCCATTCCCTGTGTTTGATTTGCCTCACCTTGCCCACCAGTCAAAGTCATGCCAACAGGAGTGATGGTGAGGCAGTAAAATCCAGCCCATGTAGTGCATTGCCCAGATGTGGCTTACCTAGGACTTCTTACAGCTATAAGATAACATGCTGTTCTTTATATGTTATCCCTCTAGTTATCAGAACTATCATTCCGTTTACCTTTTTGGTTAACGCTTATTCTCAATTACTAGAGTTTAGTAGTATAAATGGACATCTAAACAACTTTGCATGTCCAAGCTTCACACTATTTAAATAACATTTAAAGGTCTTGATCCAAAATTGCCTCACACATCACCTGAAATCTATCTAGTACAGTTTAGTTCACCCACTTAATTTATTACTTTCTCCTTTGTAATTTAATGTTCCTTTTATTCCATGTCACTAAGATTTGTGTCATTAACATGATTGGATATATTCTCTCTATCGCATTTTACATTAATATAATATTAATTATATCAATTTTATATTAATAAATATAGTGAATCGTTGAGGCCGATGGACAGTGTCCATTGGGTAAAGGAAAAATCATCATATTCTTACCAGGCCATAGTGCGGCTTTCTCATTAGAGGTTTAACTGAGGATCAGCATGCCTCAGGCAGAGGTTGAGAAAGAGAGTACTTCATGATAACCTCAATTGGTACAGGAATTGAACCCATGCTGTTGCTGTCACTCTGCATTACAAGCTAGCCATCCAGCCAACTGAACTCACTGACAGCCTGTAAAAATCCTTGTTGGGACAACCAAATCAACTTAAATTTCTCTCAGTGTTCCTATTACTCTGCATTTAATTATAAATCCTAATAATTTCCCCATAACAATCATTAGACCAACAGGTCTGTAACCTTCTATTTTCTCTCACCTTTCTAAACTAACAAAACTACGGTTATAATTTTCCAGTCTAGAATTGGAAGAGGTTTGAAAATGGTGGTTAAAGCAGATTCAATTTGCTCATTTACTTCCTTCAAAATCATAGAATCATAGATGCCCTACAATGTGACAGCAGGCCTTTCGGCCCATCGAGTCCACACTGACCCTCAGAAGACCATTGCCCCTGACTCACCCCACCCCAACCTATCCCTGCAACCCTGCATTTCCCATGGCTAATCCACCTAGCCTGCACATCCCTGACACTATGGGCAAGTTAGCATACCCAGTCCACCTAACCTGCACATCTTTGGACTGTGGGAGGAAACTGGAGCATCCAGAGGCAACCCATGCGGACGCAGGGAGAAAATGCAAACTCCACACAGTTAGTCACCTGAGGGTGGAATCAAACCTGGGTCCCTGGCACCGTGAGGCAGCAATGCAAACCCAAGGGCAACATGGGGGGGGGGGGGGGGGGGGGGGGGGGTGGGGTGAGGTTGGGGGGGGGTGTGGCGGATGTGGGTGGCATGCTCTTCAGAGAGTCGGTGTGGTCCCTGCTTCCATACTGTAGAGATTCTATGAAAATCCTCGGCTGAAAAATCAGAATCCCTGTTCAAAAGTACAGGTTGCTTCAACAATTACTGAGATGAATGCAGATGCCGAGCCTTGGAGGCTATTAACAAAGTGGACAATTCTAGAACAGCAGCAAAAAAAAATGTATGAGGCGCTAGCATATTTTCAGCTACTCTGTGCACACTTGGAGGGAGGAATCTGTCTCAAGTAGGTTAAGTTATGTCATGAGTCTGAGGCCTTCATAATGCCATCTTCAGCCACTGGACCTTTAGACCATTGTTTGCAGCATTAATGGTGACAGACTAAATGTGTAAAATGGCCTTCACAAATGGCTTGCTGTCTCAGAATACCATCCTAAACAGAATTGATGAAAACCTAGCATTCATTCTTCAAAGTGCTCTCTAGCTCCTTGTGTGCAGGTTATGTACAAGTGGACCTTGAAAGGGGAGATGGAGAAAGGAGACAAAGAAGTAGGAAATCTGCTTAAAACACTTCTACTTCCTGGTCAATGAACACCTCCTCAGTCAGCACACACATATTGTTTCTTGTCCCAAGGGTTGAATCTAAACAAACAGTTCCAGAATTCAGCCGTCCTGAGAGCAATTTGTGTTACTACCAGTGCCCTTTTCACAGTACCTTCCTCCTCCTTCTCCTCTGAAGAGGTGATGTGCTCAATACCTTCTTCCTCCTGTATTCTCCAAGCCTCACTCCTGCACTATCTGTTATCATCTTTGATGCATGACTGATTTATACAGGAGATCATCCCGAGGTCTATCCAGGTATCTAATGCACATTTTCAGCATCCTGATCACTTGCCCGATAACAGTTTTTGAGGTCAGTGGGCTTTGATTATATCATTGTATCATAGTAGGCCTCACTGTTTGGACTCCTAACAGGTATCCCTCAAGTTATCTTAAATGGATAGGTTCTGTCTCCAGAGGATATACACTAAATCTGATTCAAGATTTGGGGAGCTTAAGGAAAACACAAGTTGAAAGCATTATGGCAGCTGCCTGGGAATCCTTCATAGATACACTGGATAATCTTTTTGTAGCTGCAAACAAGCTGCATGCTAATGGAATGTGTCTCTTGCAGCAGACTGGAAGTGTTCTGCGTGTTTTTATTGCCATATGTCCGCAGTCAATGACGCATTGGATTTGTGGGAAGACAGCCGTAGCTACAAACCCAAGTGTTTGGTCACTCTGTCTGACCTCATTACTGGCAAAGTATACAGAATTGCTGACCTTGCCATGTCATCTGTCTTTTGTGCAACTTATTTATGACCAGCAGATTATAAAATTTTGCAAATATCTCAAATAGATACTTGTAAGAAGACAAACATAAATAAGCTGAGTGCAGCAGTAGCCACTGGTAAATTGTTGCTGCAGGTCCACACAGTATGAGATCTCTCAGAAAACTAGAAATCACAAAATGTGATACACTCAGCCTCCTTGGGCAATGATGCGTGACTGGAAGCTGACCCTATTCCTATACATCCTGTGTTGCAGATAGTGCCTCCTTGCAGCTTCACCATGCATTCATTCACTGTCTCCTTGTGGAGTAGCAGGTTGGTGACGGGAAGGCTGTTGCTGCTGCTCACTTTGGTCTTCTTCACAGCTTCAAGGTTAAGCTGCATAAGCGACACCCACATTGAGCTGATTTTATTTTATATTAATTCATGGAATGTGAGCATTGCTATTTAAACTAGCATTTGTCGCCCATTCCTAATTGTCCTTGAGATGATGGTGGAGAGCTGGCTGCTTGAATCACTGCAGTTCTTGATGGATAGGTATACCCAGTGCTGCTGGGAAGGGAGTTCCAGGATTTTGATCCACTCACAATGAAGCAACT